TCTGTTCTCCCTGCCTTTGTTTATCTGAAGGGTTAGTTTGCTGCTTTACAGTTTTGCAGCCTCCTGCCTACTCCTCCTCCATGATGTCAGAGGCTGATGAAATCCAGCTTCCCCGGAGCTCCCTCGTGAAATATTCATGCCAATCGAACCCCTGCACCGTCTCCTTCTCTCTCCTTCGAAATAATTCCCACAGTCTTCACGGCAGAAAGCGCACAGAACACACAGACACCGGATCCTCACAAGCCAAAGCATTTGTGCAGATGTTAAATCTTCTGATCCACTCATCATCATTTTGTTACAGTACAAGAGAGAAGGTCTTCTGTTAGATTCATGGACTGAACTGTGAAAGCTCGAACAGTTAGTGCACAAAGCCCCCTTTCGGTTCGTTTTAAAATAATGTAAAGTGAAAGATTTAAAAGTACACGAGCTTAGATTTGTCATTTCTTACTTACTTTCTTTGCATTTTAATAGCCATACCATTTCCAGGATGTATACCCTGAGGTACATCGTAATAAATATTTCAGTTTTCAGACTAACAAGGATGGCAGGTTGTGAAATGGAAATTAATAAGTTCTTTTATGCCACTTTGCAGCCCAGTTTGTCACAGCTCAGGTGTTTAATTAGACAAGTCGTGCTCAGTGGGGCGTCCTTCCTGAAGACAATATCAGCCTGTTTCTGCTGTGGCCCAAAACTGGCAGCAGGTGACAAACATCGAGAAATGAAAGAAGACGACATCCTGGCATAGCTGCTTCAATTTCAGGAGGTTTGTTTGATAATAAAACACAGTAACTTCATCTACTACAATAAATTTGTCTGTTTTTTCTGTCCCTCAACAGGAAATCTGATTCGTCTTCCCAGAGGATGACATGCTCACTCTCTGGGTCTCTTTCTTTTCCATCCTCTCTCTCCTCACCTGTGATGTAATAACTTGGGGAAAGCAAGACGCCCAGCTTTCATCTCAACTCCCCTGTCTAAATTTAGCTGTGTCAGCTAAGCTACACCAATAACCACCAGCCAACAGCCCCATTCAATTACTGACAGCATGGCGAGTTTACACTGGAGAGCTGCAGGAGGCACGCCGTGTGCCAGGCTCTGTGTGCAACTATCGCTCTCGTCCACCTGAACATGGACAGAGACGCAGACACAGACACAGCACGTCACAGTGACTGCTTTCCAGTGACTCTCTGGAAAAGCAGAAACACCCACACAGTTAACACATTTGTCCATCTGTCAGGAAGCAGAGAAACCTAATACCAGGCCCCTGGGCTAGCCACATTAACAATGCACTTTACTGGCCTCTAGAGACCCACGTGTTAGCCAGAGTGACAAAGTGTAGAAAGAAATGTTTCTGGGCAGACGAGTGGAGAAGGGGAGAGAGTCCATGTCCAAGCACACATGGCTTACACAAGCTAGTAAAACATATACAAGTAGCAGCTACTTTCAGCACCGCATATTTGAGTTGGCAGATTGTTACACAGGGCTTCCTGATGCAACCCCGAAGGATTTGTGTCAAACCAAGGACCTTTCATATGCTACACAAATGTGTAAACTGCTACACTGCGGAGCTGGAAAATACCCACAAGCAGACAAATAAATCAACCCTATTAAGCACTGAGTCTGTGAACACGTCAGTAAAAACAGACACTAGAGCTAAACTGATTATTTCACCACCTAACTGTGCCATCAAATCAAACATAAGGATAAACTATTGAACTGCTTAAGGCTTTAGTACAGAGAGAGAAAAAGAGATGATGTGATATGATATGTGAGGAGAGAGAAGAAACGAAAAGCACAGGTGAGCACACAGGATGTCATAAGTCACGGGGAGAGAGCCCACTGTATGCCAAAGCACCAATTATATTCTAATTATACACTTGCTACAGGCGCAGGCAGACCTCATACTCAACTAATTCTGAGTGGAGACTAAACGGATTAAACTGCTACAAATCTGTTACTGAACTTTCAGCTCGGTCTCGTGGCTTCGTTTGTGCAACATTCTCCAGAAGGACAAACAGGCTGTTTCATATCATACAAAGAAGAAGAGTAAAAAATACAGAGAGCCAACAATCTAAGCAGCAGAAAACAAGACAAGCAGAAGCAATACTCCCTCCTAGTGTCA